CCTTGTATTGCAAATTTGGAATTCTCCTTGAAGTATTGGCCGGGGTACGAAATTTTAGTTTCACTGATATATAGTTTACACGCAACAGTAAGTGACTGGCTTACAGTTACATGCTAGGAGAATAAAAAAAATAATCAATGTAAAATAATATTTAAATTATAGTTTGTTTTTGATATTGTTATTAAATTTTTATAATAGATTAATTTTAAAATATCTTAACAGAATTCATTGTTTAAATTAAATTATGTAAAATATTAATGATGCAACATAGCCGATTTAATAAAATAAAAAATTAATAAGATAAAAAAACAATGGTCAATTATTAAAAAATGTAGTTTTTTAAAAAAGAATAAATTAAAATAATATTTTTAATATTAAAATTGAGATATATTGAATTGCGCCGTCAACTTAATTTACATCTCAGATCTCCAGTCCTGTAAAATGAAGACGAAGTTTTACCAGCATAAATTTTATATATGTATTATTTAAACATTTACAAAATTGTCAGGATGGCCGAGTGGTCTAAGGCGCCAGACTCAAGTTCTGGTCCTCGTGAGAGGGCGTGGGTTCAAATCCCACTTCTGACATTATATTTGAACGTAAAGGATATGGGAATAGTTTATTCTTAAAGAGCTTCATATTTTAAAATTTATTTTTACATTTATGTTTTAATTTCATATGTTTGTATTTCATTGCTTTTTTTAACAATTTTTTTTATATTATTTAATGGGCACGATTTCATGGCATCACTTGTGCATTTTAATTGAAAGTAAAAGATGTAATCTCATCAAGTTTTTTATTGAAATTAAACAGTTTATTTTTATTGAAATTAAACAGTTTAGAGACCCAAAAATACTTTGGTTGGTGTTTAGAATTCTACTAGTTTTGTGGTACTTATGCTATGAGTACAATAAAAAAAAATATATTAAAAAATATCCTTGTATTGCCAATATGTTTTCTAATAGAAAAAAATATAATTATAAGTTCAAAATAATTTAAAGATTATATACACAAACTATATATATATATATATATATATATATATATATATATTTAATAGCTTCATGACCCTTGGACCTGATTAAGTTTATTAAGTTTATTTTTTATAATCAATTATTTATTTAATTAAATAATAATAAAAATAAATAATTATAGGGAAGTTGTTAAATAAAATTCAAGGGAAAAAAATTATGTAGGATTGCATAGAAAAAAACACATGCTAATATAAAAAAAACAAACATAATCTTATTCAAAAACCAAGTAAAACTGAAATGATATTTTATTAAAAATATTTATACTTAATTTTAATTAGAATTGAATACCTGCTGGATAGGCTTGCCCTGCATGTACTCAATTAAATTATTTTAAATAATCTAGTGTAAACCAAAGAAGAAAAATAAAAAGAAGAAAGATAGAAGTTGAAAAAATGGCTAGGCACCAAAGCTTTCGATGGCCTAGAACTTGGCTAAAATAAAAGGCCACATGCACAAGCCCACAAGTCTGGGCCTGCATGTCCGAGTCTTTAATATTTTTTATCATGGCATAAAGAGAAATAACTTGTTATCTATTTTTCTTTTAAAAAAATATTAGAGAAAAATTACGCATGGTTCGCTTAGTTAGACAAAACATAATCTACCCATCCAATCTCTAACCACCACAACGATGGTCTAGATATCAAATTGGTTAATTTTTTACACAATAATCCAATTTTTAATGCTTTTTAACCACCCCCGGGAAAAAGAAATAATTTTTTGTTGGCATGACTTTCTTTTTTCTTTCAAGTTGAAAAATTAAAATATAAATAAAATAAAATTTTCAATTAAAATATATAATTATTCAATTAATAGGATCAAAAATGATTTTATGCTGACACATTTTTTTAGATAAAAAGGATTGTCATTTTCTTTTCTTTGCAATTTTGATTTTCTAACTCTAAATCTCATTTAAACAACAATGCATGATTTTTTTATTGAAAAATCATGCATTAAAAAAAGTTAAACCTTTATTTGCGAGTATGATAAGTCGATGATAATCAAATAAAAAAATAAAAAAATTAAAGAAAAAACACAAATTATATACAAATCAATATTTACATGTGACAAAATGAATAATAAAATCAATAGCCCTTTTAAAAAAAAAATTAAGATACTAATCTTAAAAAAATTATAAAACATAAAAAAATATTATTTTAATATATAAAATATTTTAAAAAACAAGAACAGAATTTAATACTATGTAGGGCTCCTTGAGTAGCTGTCATGCTCGAGGCATTGTTTGTAGAGGCTATAATTCTAGTGTTAAGACTTGGAGGGAGAGATAATCCAATCGCACGGTTGACATGAATAACGTGTAGGAGATTGAATATGGGCAGGAAGGTCCAAGCCCGAAGATAGATAGATGAGCATTTTTTATATTAAAAAAATTAACGCAAAAAGGCACCGTATTAATTTTTCTACACTATATTGCAATTTTCTTTTTTTTCTTTTGTACTTGGATGGAGTTTTGAGTCGCTCGCAACTTTCAACCCATATGTGGACCGTTGACAAAAAAAAAAAAAAAACGTAGCGGCAAATCAACGAAAAGATTGGTTAGTTAATTGTGCTGTTAGGTCAGCTGTGGGTTATTTGTATCGATAGCCCCATACATGCCAGCGGTTTAGAGTTGCTATCGAATATTTGTAGGCTTATTACCCCAAATGTGATGCTTAGTTTTTAGGCTTCGTCCCACTTGATAAAAACAATTAATGGAATAATTAAAAAAAATCACCATATTTGGCATGTCACCAGTACAAGTACTCAACGTAAATGCACTGTGAAAAAATTATGTTGATGTATGATACAGATACAATATCCATTCACTAGTACAAGTGTCCTAATTGGCTAGCCAGCTTTGGATGCATCCTTCCAAGTGCTTGGAGCTGATCATTCCTTCATAACTGTAAGAAAATTGAAAGGCTAAAATGTTTATATATATATATATATATAGGGCACCGTATTAATTTTTCTACACTATACAGAATAGGTTGCAATTTTATTTTTTTTCTTTTGTACTTGGATGGAGTTTTGAGTCGCTCGCAACTTTCAACCCATATGTGGACCGTTGACAAAAAAAAAAAAAAAACGTAGCGGCAAATCAACGAAAAGATTGGTTAGTTAATTGTGCTGTTAGGTCAGCTGTGGGTTATTTGTATCGATAGCCCCATACATGCCAGCGGTTTAGAGTTGCTATCGAATATTTGTAGGCTTATTACCCCAAATGTGATGCTTAGTTTTTAGGCTTCGTCCCACTTGATAAAAACAATTAATGGAATAATTAAAAAAAATCACCATATTTGGCATGTCACCAGTACAAGTACTCAACGTAAATGCACTGTGAAAAAATTATGTTGATGTATGATACAGATACAATATCCATTCACTAGTACAAGTGTCCTAATTGGCTAGCCAGCTTTGGATGCATCCTTCCAAGTGCTTGGAGCTGATCATTCCTTCATAACTGTAAGAAAATTGAAAGGCTAAAATGTTTATATATATATATATATATTTTTATTTACGTGGGGTGTCCGGACCAGTTTACGCGCACCACGACTAATCCCCACGGCCCATTGAACATCCTACAAGCGCAGTAAACAGGTAAGACACCACGGGGGTGACAGACGTGCATGATAAGGTTCGAACCCAGGTGCGGAGGAAGGGGACAAGCCCCTCCCACCACTAGACCAGAACCTCACTTGCTATATATGTATATATATTATTTAGCGTGCATATGGATTTTTATACTAATAGAATTACAAAATATTTCTACGTTACTTGAATAATTCAAAATCAAATTCCTATATCTATACAATTTCAATAACTTAAGATTATATCTGCGCATAAATATCCTCCTACGTTTGTTGTTATAATCTTGGCACTTCTTATGCCTTATATCATTGGCAGTCACTTAGGAAACTTATCTTCTTTATCTTTAGTTATAAGTGTTTGATCCTCTATACGTCCTCGTAATCTAGAGGATAGAGCATAATGTTATGGTTAAGAGAAGATTGGTCATTGCTTTAGATAGTAGAATTGAAGCCACCATGCTGTCCACGCCTCCGTCCTCGAGGACCATCGCGTCTACATCTTCGAAAAGACTAGGAATTATGACATTGAGCAACTTTAATAGATGGTTGTTGCACTGTAAAAACAAGTTGTTGTTAAGAAAGGCGAGCTTCAATAGTCAATAAAAGAGAATAAACTTCTTCAAGTGTTACAGTGTCTGTGTGGGCAGAGATGCCACGAAGCTGTCATATTCATGGCCTAATCCTGCAAGCACGTAAGTGATAATATCATCATGAGTTATAGACTGTCCAACAATGGCTAACTCGTCTGTAAGTTTCCTGAAGAAGAGAAAATAATCTATGGCATACTGATTTCCCTTGGTTGCAGTGGCCAATTACGTGCATATCTGAACAATTCTCGCACAAGACCTGGAAGAAGAGGTTTCATCAAGAGCACGCCACATCACGTGAGATGTTGTGTAATTGACCACCTGTGCAAGCACCCTTTTAGCGAGGGAAAACATAGTGTGCTAAGAATGAGGTTGTCCTGTCATACCCACTAAGTATACACGAGATTTAGTATTTCAGAGATAAATCCACTGTCAGAGATAGAAATGGTTGGGGTTGGTGATGGTATGGTACCATTAAGATCCATTAAGATATGCGAAGAGATCCTGATCTTTGAAATAAGGCACCATTTGTGCTTTCTTGAGAAGATAATTATCAGGATTAAGTTTGGCAGTGATTATATTAGATATGAAAAGAATAGAGGGATGATTGAAAAGTTGAATTTCGGAACCAAGATAGGAGGAAGAGGATGAGGAAAACATGGCTAGATGTTGGTTTTGATACCATGTAAAACGTTTATGGATTTCGGTTCTTTGAGAACTAAAATGTTTATGTATATATTTTTTATATAGCATGCACGAGAATTTTTCACCCTTTACCCCCTCTGAAATCCTTGATCTCTTGGGCAGGGCTTAGGCCCCCGTCTCTATAAACAAAAACGGCAGACCCAAAAGCGAACAAAACCTGGTTAGCCGGTGGTAGCAAAACATAAACCCTATCTCTTTAACTCAAATCGTTTCTCTTTCAATCATAACAAAGGTAACAGAAAGAAGCATCAAATGACACCAGCCTTCCATCTCTTTAACTCAAACCGTTCTTCTCTCAATCTCCAACACTACCTCTGTCTTTCTCATTACACCACCACAACACCTCCATCAATTGCAAAACAATTCCAAGAACATCATCGTCATCAACAAAACCAAACAAACCCTCTCCTTTCAAGCCTTGAAAGAAAAAGCCACCAACGTTTGATTTCCCTCATAAAATCATGCACCCAAAAGTCCCATTTGCTCCAAATCCATGGCCATCTAATCCGCAACTCGCTCCTTCACTACCCTGCCATTTCTCTCCCTTTCTTGTCTGGCATGGCACTCTCTCCCATCCGAGATATATCATATTCCCGCCAATTTTTTTCTCAAATTCCGAACCCATCTGTATTTCTATACAACACATTAATAAGAGCTTATTCTATGAGTAACTCTCCTATTGAAGGGTTCTTTATGTACCAAGAAATGAGAAAGAATGGTTTACGTGCAGATCCTGTAACTTTATCTTTTGTTATCAAGTGTTATATTAGAGTTAGTTCGTTAATTGGTGGTGAACAGGTTCATGCAAGGATTTTAAGTGATGGGCATCAATTTGATAGCTTGCTGCTTACTAACCTGATGGATTTGTATTCGCTTTGCGATAAGGGTAGCGAAGCTTGCAAAGTGTTTGATGAAATGCGTCAAAGAGACACTATTGCTTGGAACGTGTTAATTTCTTGTTATATGCGTAATCGTAGGACTAGAGATGTTTTGGTTATATTTGATGGTATGCTGAGTGGTGAGCTCGGATGTGAACCGGATGATGTAACATGCTTGCTTCTACTCCAAGCATGTTCAAACTTGGGCGCGTTAGAATTTGGTGAGAAGGTCCATCGTCATATTGTGGAACGAGGATATGATAATGCGACCAACTTGTGTAATTCGCTTATAGCAATGTATTCGCAGTTTGGGAATTTGGACAAGGCTTTTGGTGTGTTTAAGGGCATGCACAATAAGAATGTGGTTACATGGAGTGCTATCATTTCTGGTCTTGCTATGAATGGATACGGGAGAGAAGCTATTGGAGCATTTGAAGAGATGCTAAAAATGGGTGTTTTGCCTGATGATCAGACCTTTACTGGAGTTCTGTCCGCTTGTAGTAATTGTGAGTTGGTTGAGAAGGGGATGATAATCTTTGCTAGAATGAGCAAGGAATTTGGGATAGTGCCAAATATTCATCATTATGGATGTATGGTTGACCTTCTCGGGCGTGCTGGTCAGCTTCATCAAGCATATCAGCTTATAATGTCAATGAGGGTCAAACCAGATTCAACCATATGGAGGACCTTACTTGGGGCTTGTAGAATTCATCGCAATGTTATACTTGGAGAACATGTTGTTGAACATTTGATTGAACTTAAGGCTCAAGAGGCTGGTGATTATATTTTATTGTTCAATTTGTATTCTTCCGTTGACAATTGGAAGAAGGTGACAGAATTGAAGAAGTTCATGAAGGAGAAGGGAATCCAAACCACACCTGCCTCTAGTTCAATTGAATTGAAAGGTAAGGTCCATGAGTTCGTTGTGGATGATGTTTCTCATCCACAAAAGGATGAGATTTATGAGATGTTGGACGAGATTAGTAAGCAGCTGAAGATTGCTGGTTATGTTGCTGAAATAATATCCGAGTTGCCCAATTTAGATGCAGAAGAAAAAAGGTATGTTCATTCTTATCATAGTGAGAAGTTGGCTATAGCTTTTGGAGTTCTTGCAACACCACCAGGCACGACAATCAGAATAGCGAAGAATCTCAGAATTTGTGTTGATTGCCACAATTTTGCCAAGATCCTTTCAGGGGTTTATAACAGACAAGTAATTATTACAGATCATACTCGGTTCCATCATTTTCGAGGAGGACACTGCTCATGCAGTGATGATTGGTAATGATACTTTGATAATAACTTCGTGAGTTTGAACTTTGATAAACATTCTCACAAGTTAGTCGGCAGCTGGGAAGCTTTCTTGCAAACGCTATGCTCATTGATAAGAAATTTTGGATTGCAGTCAACCCATTTGATTTGGCGAGGCAGATTTTCACTCTGAATACTTCTAATTGTGTGCAGTCCATATGTGAAAGACACCCAAATATGGTTTATGACGATGCACTCTGAAGTTTTCAAAACATGAAAGGAGAAGGAGGATTTTGGAACTTTTCAAACCGTGGTGGACCAAAGTTTGGTGAGTGCATCCTCAGTTCTCCCACAAAATTCCTTGAGCAAAAGCCGTTGGAATTATTAGTTTATACATCGGAAGAACCCGTTTTGTTATGCTTAAATCCCCTGCTGATGGTCTTCATTTAGGCATATAGTTGAGTGGCTTGGGGGAGTCCTATTAGTGTACAGTGGCGAGACCGAGCTCTTGGATATCATGCAAGAATTAACTAAACTGACAACAGCGAGAGATTAGAAGTATAGTTATAAATTAGATAGATTGCATGCGTTTTGTTGTGGGTCCAGATTAATCTTTTTGTAATGTTAAAAACAAAACGCTAAATTACTGTTATTGTATTTTAAAGAATGAAAAAAAAAAAAGACCTATATCCTAGAAAGAAAACTAAAAAAAAATAACACTAGTCAATCGTAGGAAACAAAATGCAGAAAAAAAGATGAAATGAAAATAAAAAAAATGAAAAAAATACTAAAAATAAAGCACCAATAAAATTGAGTGAGGTTATTAAAACTTGTAAGTAGGTCAAAATTTTTGCGTAAGATTATGCAGAGGATAATTTAATAAAAAAAAACTAATTTAAAAAAAAAAACTAAATTTTTAGAGACAAAATAGAAAGTATATAAAAAAAGAGTGATTTAAAAAAGAACTTGGATTATCCGAATAAACCTTTCATCTAAATCATAAGATATAAATAAATTATTTAATTTTTAAAAAAAAATTGAAGAAAATAACAAAGCTTCAAAAGCTATTATTGAGAAAGAAAACAACATTAACTTGTGTAAAGTTTTTAACCTCATGATCATAGGTACTATCTAAATTGGAAGCATTATATCTGAAAAGTTACTATTTTAAAACTTGGCTCGACTTGACGGGTTAACCCGTAACCCTCAACTTAGACCAAACTAAGTTTCAAAAGAAATTGGGGGAGATAAGACGATCAAAAACCAGTGTTGACCCATGTTTCTGTTAACTCAGGAAAAATTTAGTCAAAATAGGGTCAGAACCCATTTACTATTTTCCTTTCTTTTTTTAAAAAAAAATTGTATCATTTTGATCATTTTTTTTATAAAACAAAAGGATTTGGTTGACCTAAGTTAACTTGAGTCAACCCACATGATCTATGACTCGATAATTATCTTGACTCCTAAGTAGGGCCTATAAATAATGAAAAAAATCTAGGAGACCAAATCCCAATAAATAAAATGTTAAATGATAAAATAAAAAATAAATGATAAATAAATAATAATTAAAAGAATAAGGACCTTATTTCAAAAAAAAATTGAGAGGACACAAAAAATTGAATTAAAGTGTAAAATTAAAAAAAATCAAATTAACAATGGATCCAAAACAAATAAAAAACAAAGAATATTAATTTTCAACGAACTCAATGATGATAGATGAAATTTTAAGAAAATAATTAAAAATGACAGAAATTTGTGGCATGGATCATGAGGTCGTATTACAACATGAAAGTCAAACTCAAAAAAATAACAATGTAAAATTCCTTACGAACCAAAATAATTTGAGAAACTTGAAAAATAAAAAAAATAATTTAAAAAATATAGATTTAAAAAGAAAGAAAACAAAATTTGACAAAAAAAAATATAAAACCAAATTATAAAGGGATATTTGATATAAGAATAAAATTTCAAGGGATGAAAAACAAATTAATTTAATAAAGAATTCAAAACCAAATACATCACAATTAAAAAAAGTAAGTACTGAATCTAATATAAAAATTAAATGTAAAGGAACGAATTTGAAGAAAAAAAAACTTAATGATTGAAGACTAAATATATTGCAATTAAAATAATGAGAACCAAATTTGATATAAAATCAAGTGTGAAGGGATGAAATTAAAAAAAAAGCAAATATACTTAATAAATGATTTAACGTTAAATACATTACAATCAAAAGATTGATAACCTAATTTAACTTAACAAATAAAGAGTCATACTTTCTTACTTTTTTGCAATTGCTAGAGCAATTTTTTAAAAGGAGAGAGGGAGGGAAAAACCTTTGGTTAGAGCTCCTCTGTGTGCTGTCTCTGCACACATGTCTCACCATCGTGATGGGAGTGGTAAGGCACATCGAATGCTATACTGAAAGATGACATTCGATCACAACACACGCCTTCCAAAGAATATAGGTGGTGCCCATAAGCACGCACCAATAATTTTTTAATATATAAACATACATACACACATACTCTTAATTACCCGAGCTTACTTGAGATTTATAATAAAATCATATGAAGAAGACAAAAAAAACCTTGCATGTAGCCTTAGTTTTTTTTTTCAAAATCAAAGGATAAATTTGTATTTTTACTATTAAAAAAAAGGATGGAGGAGCCCCTCAATACATGAATATTATTTTCTCGTAACAAAGGAATGGTCATAACTTTACTATTTGTTTTTAAAAAAAGACAAAGAACCCTACCCAAAGATTTAAATAGTGTGCCTTAAAGGGCAAATTAATATTTATATTATAGTAAAAACAACATTGAACAGACCATTTATTCCCCAATCATTTTTTTCAAATACAAATGTATCTTATGCAAAAGACAATCTTACCCCCCCCCATTTGCTTGCTTAATCATTTTTTTAGTAAGGGCAGATTCATCTTTATACCGTTTCAATCCACAATAATATGGTTCTTGGTGAATAATAAAAGACTGAGGGCTTTTAATGTTTTTTAACTAGTTATTTGACCTACTCTTCATCGTTGGCTAGATTGTTGTTTCTTGACAAAGAAAAAATGCAAGCTTTTCAAATGTAATTTTTTCATAAAATAAATTATAATTGTAAATTAAAAAGCTTATGCATACATTTAATTAAATAAATCAAGAACTATTTGTGCTAATAAATAAATAAGTGTTAATACGTATATTCAACTCACCTAGCTATAAGCTAAATAATTTTTTTTCAAACACAAAAGAATTAATATATAGGTGTTATGAAGGTGTTTTTTGACATCGAGTAAAAACTATATATTAATATAAATAAAAAAGTTGATACTTACATATAATAAAATATAATCAAAATCATATATAGTAATAAAAAATTCAAGATCTCAAACTAATTTTTAGTGTAGTCGAAAAATAAGATAATGTTACAACTACTACAATGAAACACATTTTTCTTAGTCTTTGTCAAATAATTTTTTAAATAAAAGTGTAAAGAAAAAATAAAAATAAATAAAAAACCAATTACAAAAGAATGAATATAAGAACAAAAAAAAAGGATAAATATAGACCAAGTGCATATTGATAAGTATTTCAAGTGTAAAGAATAAAAAATAATATTTTTAAAAATATATATATAAAGAAAAAAATAGAAACTAAAAAAAATATTATGAAGAAATAAAGATAAGAAAAAAATAATGATAAATAGACCAAATATAAAATAATTAAAATGACCATTATAATCAATGATGAGAATACTAAGAAGATTACCCCTTCTTCTTATTTGTTTGAATCTTGTGATATGTGCTATAGTAGATTAGATTATATGAATTAAAATTTTATGCAAATAAATCATTAATTATTACCAAGTATAATTTATGAGAAAAATCATAAATGTGAAATTTATGTAAAATCAGAATTCATAAAACTTTTTTTTCAAATAATTGAAGAAATTAGTGAATCTTTGGACTTAATTCACTCGAATATTATTGATTTAAAATTTATGCAAAGTAGAGGTGAAAAAATATTATATTATTTTTATAGATAATTATACAAGGTATTATTATATTTATTTACTTAAAAGTAAAGAAAAAGCTCTTAAAATGTTTAAGCATTACAAGAATAAAGTTTAAAATCAACTTAACAAAAAGGTAAAGGCAATAAGAAATGATAAAGATGGAGAATATAAAGTATCATTTGGTTAATTATATTCTCAAAATAGCATTATTCAATAACTCACTAATCCTTATTCATCACAAAAAATGTTGTGGAATGTAAAAAACTAAATGATGAATGTCATTTTGATAAGTTCAAAAGCAGCTCATAACTTCTTATAACTTCTTAGGAGAGATAATTTAACTACTAATTATATACTTGACAAAAAACTTTATAAGGAGAGATAATTTAACTAATAATTATATACTTGACAAAAAACTTTATAAAAGTTAGAAAAAATACCATATGAATTATAGAGAGGTAAAAAAAATTCCTACAAATACTTTAAAGTGTGGAGGTATCTTGCAAATATAGAAATATATGATCTTAAAAAGGTCAAGATGTGATAAATAATTATGGATTATACATTTATTGGAGATGCATATAATAATAATGTATATCAATTTATTGTACATAAATCAAGTGTTGAGGATATCCTAATACTATAATGTATATCCTAATACATAAATCAAGGAATGTTACATTCTTTGAAGATGTGTTTTCATGGAATGAGTGCAGAGAATCATTCATTTAAGAGAATGATTGAGGCATAGTTCAAGTAATCATGATCAATTAAAAGACGATAAAATTGATTTTAGAAGGAGCAAAAAGAAAAAAAGACCAAAATATTTGTTTCTAATTTTTTAATATTTTTTTTTAAAATGAACTTCAAACATACTTTAAGGCAATGTCATATCCAAAAATTTCTATTAAAAAGAGATGCTCAATAATAAATTTAAATCCAAATTATTATAAATGAGAACAAGTAAATTTTTCTTCTGAAAGTAAACTATCAAGCCATAAGTAAATTTTACCATAAGTAAATTTTTAAAAGGTTAAAGTCGATGGTTTACTAAGTAACAAATGACTAGTTTTAATTGATACAATATTACATAATATCTTATAACAATATTTACTAATAAAAAAAACATCTAAAACCTGTTCATTTAAAATTTAAAATTTTATGTATTCTAGGTTTTTTTTAATAACTTTTTATGTTTTATATTCTCTTGTTAAACATTATTGTACACTGGTCAAATATATTTAGAACCTTGGAGATTCCCCCAGCAATTGGATTTGGCTT